GCAGGCCAGGGGATCTAGCCCCAGTCCCCTGTGCCTGCTTGCAGTGCTTTAATCTGCTGAGCTATTTGGCTGGCCCTAGAAGTTGAGAAGGATTTTTTTTTTGGCTGGCTCAGGCTGCCTTAAGGGCAGGTCTGGTAAGGTAGATGGAGCTGGGGTTCGAACTGGGGCCCCCTGCACCTGAGTGGATTTTGCAGAGCAGGTACTTAAACAACTGAGCTAACCTGGAAGCCCCCAGAATAATTTCACTTGTGTCAATGAATTGCTTTTCTGCTTGAAAAAATATGATTTTTAAAATGATTATACTAGTCAGCTTTCTGTCAGTGTAATAAATACTTGAAATAATCAGCTTTCACAGAGGAAAGGTTTATATTTGGCACAGTTTTAGATCTTTTCATGCATGACCAACTGGCCCCGCTACACTAGGCGTGAGGCAGCGCAGCATTGCATTTGCTTAATGGGGACGAAGTCAGAGAAGCAAGGGACTAGGGACCCCTGTCCCTTTGAGATCCACAGGATCATTGATTGAAGATCTTCCACTGAGACCTCTTAAAGTGTCCATCCTAGTCCTAATAACTTTAAGATGGAAAACAGAACTTTAACACATGAGCCACTGTGAAACAATCAACATGTAAACTATAGTGGTGTCTATTTTATCATTGTTCGTATGAGAAAATGTTGTTTGTATTAATAACTATAAGATATTTAACACTTTAATTATGGTGCAATTTTATGATGTATGGTATGATAATGACATGATTGTCTTCTCAGGGAGGGCTAAAACCTCCTTGTAGGAAAGATGCTAGTGGTGTAGAAGTAAATATTTAATAACTAGTTCTCTGAGAGCACTTCTAGTATTGTTTACATTGATAGGTAAGACAATTGTAAAATAACAAATTATTGTGCTGAAACTGCACATGTGCTTATGAATGACTCTCAAGCTTAGTAAATTACTCTTTGATACTAGAGCTTGTTTCCTGTTTAGTTTTTTTTTAAAATTTTGATAACATAACCAATACTGACTATAAAAAGATACATTTTTCATTCATTTAGTGCAGGTTCTACAGGGTCTTACTACACGGATTGGACTCTTAGTGATCCTCCTGTTTTCAGTTTCCCAAGTTTTGGGATAACAGGCATGTGCCACCCCTCTCAGTCTCAATCACCATCTCAGCGCGCCCAGGGGTGGGGAGTGGGGCGGAGCCTGCAAGGCACGCCAGGGATGGAACCCTCGGCCCCTGAGTCTGCCTAAGCAGGCGCTTTAGTCGCTGCGCTATCTGGCTGGCCCTTGATTATAAAAATCATGATCAACATCATTTAGATTTTGTTAAAACACCAAGACAACAAATCAAGTCTTGCTCTGTAGAATTTGCCAGCTTCTGTCCTGCAGATATCCTAACCAGGCCCGATTCTCAAAGGCTAACCTGGCAGAACGTCCAAGGATACACAGAGCAGGGCACGAAACCGCACGTTCATCATGGAGACACCAAAGGTATCATAACCTCCAAAGAACAGGTCTTAGTAAAGTAATTCACAAGTGGTGATCTGTGTAGAGTTATTCTTTTTTTTCTTCTTTTTGTTCTTAACATTTCATTTAGTTTTAAATTTATGTAATTTTAAACATCAAATCTTTTAGAGACTGGTTTCTTAAAAAATTGAATAATTATTCTGGCCAGCTGTCTGTGCCGCACTACCGGAATACGCCCAGTGGGGCCACTTGCAAGATGCCCGTGAAATCGCAGAAGGCAAACTTGGGAGCAGATGTTAAAAATCAGTTGTGACAGCTCATACCTGCCAGCTCCATCATGTCACTGGATATAAAACACATAAATCATTTTTTGAGGGTCCCTCAGATTTTCAGGGAGATTAAAATATCTCAAATCCAAGGTTCCAAAACTGCTGATTTTGAAAGTTCATTAGTTTTAGCCCCATACCAGAGTGAGAATGGGTGTGATCCGGGGGCCCCTATGGCTTAAGAATGCGATTGGGTGAATAAAAGAAGACCCATTTATGGAATGACGAACACAAGGGCATTTGCTAGAGGAGCCTAATACTTTTATATAGATGATTTGAAATAAAAGAAAAGATTCTGGGGAAAAGGAGGTGGAAATAAATTTGTATGTGTGTATGAGAGAATATAATGGGCCGTGATATTTCTAAGAATAATTTCATGTTAGCCCTTCATTTCCAATTGAAAAATATTTGCTTCTTGGGTTGATTTTGACTTGTGCAGTGGATAAACATGAATGCACCATCTAATTGCAACTGCTTTCTTTTTTATTTATTTATATATTTATTTAAGAGAATGCAAGTTAGAATTGAAACAGAAAAAAATTACAAGTTATAAAGAATTTCATTGAATAGAGTAATGCAAATTTCACAATATTTGTTGTAATACGTAGTGTTGTCTTCCAACAAATATTCATATCACCAGATATATGCATGTAAAATTGGAAGAAGAAAAAGAAAGAAATATATAATAAAGAATAGAAAAAAGTACAATCTATTGAAAAAAAAGAGAAAAAACAAATTAAAGCATTCACTGCTTCTTTCCATAGACCAGCAGACATGTGCAGTACTTTTATGCAAACAATCCTGCTTACATACATAGATAAATCACTTTGCTCCACTTCTTTTTCTGTGCTAGACTTTGAAAAACCAATAAAAAATTTAATTGATTTATATAAACATTTTTCTAATGATTTTCTAGTAATCATTCTCTGGTAGTGAATAACAATTAACAATCAATACCACAAACATATCTGTAAATTCCCCCAACTTTTTGGAAAGTAAATCAATCAATGCTAATGTGTCATGAAGGTGAAAAACAGTATAGCAGGAAGTTTTGAATTATTGTTAATGCAAAGAACACAAAGGATACTATATCAAAATTATGGTGATTCTTTGAGAAAAACTTATGTATAAAATGTTTAGATTATGTGAGAAAATGTTTCAATTTCACATGTGAGCTTCCATTTTAAGTAATTCAAGTAGCAAAGAAAAATAAATCCAAAGTAAGGAGAAGAAAAAAAGTTAATAAAAACATAGTCAATGAAATTCAGAATGAAAAGGAACAGGAAAAAGAAAGAGACAGAAAAAGATGAAACCAAAAGTTTCTCAAAAAAAAAAAAAAATCAAAATCAAGAAATCGGACAAGGCAAAAATGTAGTTTCTACTTTTTTTTTTAATCTAACTATAAATGTTAGATAAACATGAACAGGTCTGTAGTGGTAAAAACTTTTATTTAAAAAAAAAATGCAACTGCTTTCTAAGAGCTCATTCCAAGAGTCCTTTTGAGGAGTTAAACATCTTGAGAGATTTGAATGCAAAGTAAGGCTAAGGCAAGCCTTCCACAGAGGCAGCCTGAGCACAGCAGGGATTCTAGAGTTCTGGAAGTAATGCAGGAGGGAAAGGAAGAGGAAAGACAGCCTGAGAGGGAGGAAGTGAGTGATGCAAAGTGCAAGAATGTGAAGCAACCAAGATGGACGTGCCTTTCGCAGGGCAGGCACTGGCCCTGCATTTACATCAGGTTTTTCATGCGTTTGTGTGCTTCTGTGTGTGTGTGTGTGTGTGTGTGTGTGTGTGTGTGTGTGTGTGTGTCTGTCTGTCTGTCTGTCTGTCCGTCTGTCTGTATATAGGTGTACTTCTACTCACATGTTTGGGCATCAGTATGGCCAATCCTGAATGAGAGAACAACCCAGTGTACAATAGTGAGATGATTCATAAATGAAATAGTAATTTTATACCAACAAAAAAATTGGACTAAGTGGTATCTATCAGAAATAAACTTGCAAGGAATACAGAGAAATTTTAGAACTTCGAACTTCCGTAAAATAAGGAATGGGGTTTTAGGAGACAATTCATCTTTTAATCTCCACATGCAAAGATTCTCTAATTAACAGAATTCTGGTTGTGTTTTGAGCCCTGG